GCCTCCCAAAGTACTGGGATTATAAGCATGGGCCAGTAATTAAATTAATTAAAATTACCTTTTAATCATGGGTAATATTGTGCATTTGTTGCTCTCATAACTTTGATGAATGTTGAATCAAAGTTTAATTCTTCAACCCAGTGATTCTATGTCCGAGAGTATTCCCCTGTGATACACCAGCACAACTGCAGAGAGAGACGTGCACAGATATGCAATGCAGCACCATTTCTAATAGTGACTATTTAAAAAAAAAAAAAAAAAAACCTAAATAAATAAATCAGCTCTGACCCATAAACTGGAATGCTGTGTCTATTAAAATAAACTTGAAATCAGTCTACATCTAAATGAAATTGTCCAAGATCTATTATAGAGTGAAAAAAAGGATTAAAACTGTAGATGTGGTATGATCCTAATTGTGTAAAAAAAAAGAAAGAAAATATAGATATTTGTTATGTATCCATACACAACTTCTGGAAAGATATTCAGGATATTCAGGAACCTGTTACTTACAGTTGTCTGAGGAACGAGACTGAGAAGTTTAGCGGGTTGAAGAAGGTGGGGGTGTTGCTTACTCTTAAGCCAACACCTTTCTGTATCTTTCTACTTCTCAGGACGTAAACTAGCTTCTGCTCAGTACACAGTGATTTCTTCCTGGCCATTAGTCTGTTAAAATCCAGACAGACAAGACTCTAGGAAAAATAAATTCTGAATTAATAATATAAATAAATTGAATTGAAAGTAATAGTTTCACCCACAGGATGAGCTACAGTTTCCCTCACTGCACAGAGGGTTCATCACACATCCTCTTGAAATAATCAGGTTTTCAAACCCTTTAAAAACCAGATCCAAGTTTTTTTGTTGTTGTTTTAGTTTTTGGTTTTTTCAAGATGGAGTCTCGCTCTGTCGCCCAGGCTGGAGTGCAGTGGCTCAATCTCGGCTCACTGCAACCTCCACCTCCTGGGTTCAAGCAATTCTCCTGCCTTAGCCTCCCGAGTAGCTGAGATTATAGGCACGCGCCACCATATCTGGCTAATTTTTATATTTTTAGTAGAGATGGGGCTTCACCATATTGGCCAGGCTGGTCTCGAACTCCTGACCTCAGGTGATCCATCCACCTCAGCCTCCCAAAGTGCTGGGATTACAGGCGTGAGCCACTGTGCCTGGCCTGGATCCAAGTTTTTAAAATGCAATTTATATATACCTTAATTAAATATAGAAATAATAATAACACAAATAGAAGCCTTGTGATTAGAGAATGTCTGAGGTATATCAGAGAGAGTTGGGTCAGCAGACTGCATGGGGATGCTGTTTGGAGAAGCACATGTGTGGGACCTCCCCCAGAAGCCCCCTGTCTTCCCACCCATATGGCACGCCTCTCCTGAAAGCCAGCAGGGCAGAGGGTAGCAGCCGGGGGAAATGGAATCTGTCTGCTTGAGAGCTATGGGGGACTCAAGGGACATGCCACCCACCAGGGCCTGTCCACCCTCTCCCCAACATGCCTTTCAGAGACATCCCTCTAGTTTAGGAGGGATGAGGCAACTCTTTTTAGTAGGACTTTTGTGTACAAAAATTAAGAAAGTAGAAAATTACTTGCACTGGTTGCATTAGATATATAATCTATAATATATTCATTTAAACCCTGTGAGTAGCCAAGAGGATACAGAGAAGGACACTAGCTAAAAATACTAAGCATAGGCTGGGAGCTGTGACTGTGTCAATGAAAAAAAAAAAAAAAAATCACATATCCAGGCCAGACACAGTGACTCATGCCTATAACCCCAGTATTTTAAGAGGCTGAGGCAGGAGCATTGCTCGAGACCAGGCATTCACAACCAGCCTGGGCAACATAGTGAAGCTTTGTCTCTCCAAAAAATTAGCTGGGCATGGTGGTGCATGCCTCCAGCCTCTCAGGAGGCTGAGGTGGGCTGATGGCTTGCACCTGGGAGTTTGAGGCTGCATTGAGCCACGATCGTGCCACTGCACACCAGCTTGAGCCTGGGTGAGAGAGTGAGACCCTGTCTCTAATAATAATAATAATAATAACAACAACAACAACAATGCTTCCTAACTACCAGGGTCACCAGCTTAGCACTGAAGACCCTGCATCTGGGGGATCCTCAGTCCTGAGCAAACCAAGACTGTTGTTCACCTTACACTATTAAGGAACATAAATGCATCAAAGCACAAGGCCAGGGGGCCGAGAAGATAGCCAGAGAGGACCAGCCTTTAATGAGGGCCCAGAGGCTGACAGAGGTCTGGCCACCACTTCATGTGGGTCTACCCACACCCAACTGGGGCACAAAACCTTTGCATAAACACCCCATGAGGAGGAGCCTCTGCAGCTGCCCCCTCCTCAGAATCCTGTGTGCTCCCATCACCCGCAGCTTCCACAAGGTCTGAGGATGAGCACATTGAAGAGCCGGGATGCGGGCAGCAGTGTGGAGGGGATTTCCCTTTTTGTCTCTGGCTCTTTCTCGAGGGTCTTGGGCAAGCAGGAGGTGGGAAGAGCAAGAATTAACAAACTTTTGCAGAAGCCACCGCCTCAGCTTTGGTCTGTGATTCCTAGCACATCTTGGATAAAATAGTCTATCAAAGAGAAAACCAGCAGAGAACCACGAATAGGCTGTGGACATGGCTCCCATGACCACAGTCGGAGCAGGAACAGTGGCAGGCTGCCTGCACTCCAGAGCAGCCGGAGGCTCGGATGGTTCCGCACACTCCACCTGGTTCTGAGTGTTGTCATCAGGTGGAAAGGAGTGAGAGAAAATCCTACTTGAATATAGCAGAATCACAAGGAAAAACTCAACTAGACCCCAGGACCCTGCCAAGAACTGCTGCTGCGCTGCAGACCCAAGAAAGAGAGGCCAGTAGGGTTTTGCTTTGTTTTGTTTTGTTTTTTTCAGCAAATAGATATGATGGCAAGTGTCAGCTGGTTCTGGAAATTCCTTTCCTCCTGAAAGAATGAATAAAAAGACAAGGAAGGCCAGGCGTGGTGGCTCATGCCTGTAATCCCAGCACTTTGGGAGGCTGAGGTGGGTGGATCATGAGGTCAGGAGTTCGAGACCAGCCTGACCAACATGTCAAAACCCCGTCTCTACTAAAAATACAAAAATTAGCAGGGCATGGTGGCGCATGCCTGTAATCCCAGCTACTCGGGAGGCTGAGGCAGGAGAATCGCTTGAACCTGGGAGACAAAGGTTGCAGCGAGCCAAGATTGTACCACTGCACTCCAGCCTGGGTAAAAAGAGCGAAACTCCGTCTCAAAAAAAGAAAAAACAAAAAAAGACAAGACAAGAAAAACAATAAGCCCATGGAAAAAAGGTGACACAGGACAAGGAAAAAGGAACAGAACTTTGCAGACTTGGAGGAAGCACAGATTCTACACGAGGTCTGGGGAAATTTAGGAAGTTGTTTGATGTGAGATGCAAGAAACATGGTCTCGGTGAAAGAGAAATCAAACACTCAAAGCCAGAAAGCAGCAGAACGGCCAAAGGAGTCCCGACTCTTGTGACACTCATGGTTCTGAGAAAAGAGAAATGGTGCAGGTTGACGTCATCCTAGAAAGCGGAGAAGGGAGTGGAGCTGGTTTGGAGCGTACATTTGATATCAGCCATGAGTAGGCATTTTAAGTGCGCAAGCAGTATGAGAGGCTGGGCTCCTCACTGAAGGGGAGGCTGTTGCAGGGTTTCTGGGGGTGGATGTGGCAGGTGGTCGTGGGAAGCACCTGCAGGGGAGGGGGGAAGTGGGACACGGAAGGGGAAGCAGCCTCAAAAGGGTGAGATAGCAACATGTCGCCTGCGAGAGAGGACGGAGCTTAATCCCACTGCGGAACTCTGAAAAATGGTGTCCTTGTGATATGCCTCAGACTTATCTCACCAGAACAGCAAGAAAGATGAGGTCTTTATTCACTTACTCCCACCCACCAGTCACTGGATCAGGGCTGCCCTGGAGGTGCTAATTCCTTGGGGCTTCCTAATTCCTGCTGTCCACAGGCCGAGAGAACTCCTGGGAACAGAGGGCCTCAGGCAAGGAGCCTCGATGCAGCCATGGCTGGGGACCACAGCAGTACGTCAGAGCATGTCTTTTTCAACAAGGGTAGGAGGAGTGGCCAGAAGACGCATGGGCAGGGCCAGGAACATGAGCTCGACTGAGAAGATGGTGCTGCGGGTGGTGGGATATAAGGGTGAGTCCATAGATTGGAATGGTGTTTGTAAAAACTTGACCTCAGCCGGGCATGGCGGCTCACGCCTGTAATCCCAACACTTTGGGAGGCCAAGGTGGGCAGATCACCTGAGGTCAGGAGTTCGAGACCACCCTGGGTCACATGGTGAAACCCCATCTCTACTAAAATACAAAATTAGCCGGGTGTGGTGGCGCATACCTGTAGTCCCAGCAACTCAGGAGGCACAAGAATCACTTGAGCCGGGAAGCTGGAGGTTGTAGAAAGCCAAGATCATGCCACTGCACTGCAGTCTGGGTGACAGAGTAAGACTCCGTCTCAAAACAAAACAAAACAAAACAAAAAACTTGGCCTGGGCCAGGCACAGTGACTCACACCTGTAATCCCAACACTTTGGGAGGCCAAGGCAGGAAGATCCGTTGAGCCCAGGAGTTTGAGACCAGCCTGGGCAATGTAGGGAGACCCTTTCTGTACAAAAACATTTAAAAAATTAGCCAGGCATGGTGGGTCACACCTGTAGTCCCAGCTACTCAGGAGGCTGAGCAGGGAGGATAGCTTGAGCCCGGGGAAGTGGAGGCTACAGTGAGCCATTATTGCCCCACTGTACTCCAGCATGGGGACAAAGTGAGATGCTGCCTCAAAAAATAAACAGACAGATAAGTAAATAAACAAATAAATAGCTGCCTAGGCAGTTCGGACTTGATATGCAGGAGTTGGGATTCATGGCACCGCTTCAGTCTCTTGGGTTGGGTCTTAAACAAGGGTGTACTGGCTTGAATTGTGTCCCCCCAGAATTCACGGTTCAAGGTTCAGAATCTGTGAATGTGGTCTACTGTGTAAATAGGGCCTCTGCAGGTGTAATGAAAGTTAAGATGAGGTTCTACTGGATTACAGGAGGCCCTAAATTGGATATGACTGGTGTCCTTTGAAAACAAAAAGAAGAGAAGACACACACTCACACACACTCACACACACATACACACACACACACACACACACACGGAGGCCATGTGAAGATGGAGCAGATATCAAAGGGAGGCAGCTGCAGGCCAAAGGACACCAACATTGCCAGGAGGCCCCAGAAACTAGGAAGAGGCACGGGTTAGATCCTCCCCTGCAGCCTCCAGAAGGAACTGATTCTGCCGACCCCTCGATACTGGACGTCTGGCCTTCTGAACTGTGAGAGGACACGCTTCTGTGGGTTCAAGTCCCACAGTGTGTGGTACTTGGCTACAGTAGCCCCAGAAAACTGCCACTAAGGGTTAGGCGAGGAAGACCAGGCTGAAGGCCCATGGGAACGGGCTGGAGGGAGGAAATCCAAGTCGCGGAACTCCTACGATGCTGGTCCTTCGGGTCTCAGCAGAAAGCTGTTTCCCCATCAACGCCAACCAACTCTTCCTGGCTAAGTCACATAACCCTGCCATACGCCCTCATGCCTATCCTTTGCCTGCAGCATGTCTGTGGTTTATCTGGGCAGGGGCTTTGGGGATGATGCTGAAAACCACTTTGGAAGGAAAAAGACGACAAACATGATGACAGATAATGTCTAGAGTTTGAAGGAGTGGGGACAAGTCTCATGACCTAAGAGTTGAGCTGCTACTCTTTTTTCTTTTTTTCTTTTCTTTTCTTTTTTCTTTTCTTTTTTTTTTTTTTGAGATGCAGTCTCCCTCTCTTGGCTAGGCTAAAGTGCAATGGCACGATCTCGGCTCACTGCAACCTCCACCTCCCAGGTTCAAGCAATTCTCCTGCCTCAGTCCTCGAGTAGCTGGGATTACAGGGGTGCACCCCCACGCCCAGCTAATTTTTGTACTTTTAGTAGAGATAAGGTTTCACTATGTTGGTCAGGCTGGTCTTGAACTCCTGACCTCAGGTGATCCACCTACCTCAGCCTCCCTAAGTGCTGGGATTACAGGCAAAAGCCACCTCTCCCAGCCTGAGCTGCTACTCTTAACAATGTGGTCCATGTCAAGGAAACTGTGGGGAGAAGTGGAGGGAAGGAGAAGAAAGGTGATGAATTTCGTGTCAGTCCTGTAAGATTTAAGACCACAGCCCACAAGGAGGGAGAGAGTTAAAATCACCAATGGCTTTTGAAACAAAACTAAATACCATAACAGAGCAAATCGCTGCTGATAGGTAATCCAACTTAGAGACTCTGAGTGGTGAATTTATAACCTAAACAAGCATCTCCATACATGCAGCATGCTTCCTCTCCCCTTGTCTAGCAAAAGACGCAGTAGGTGCTATCGCTTCTCTCCTACGCCTCCTGGAAAGCGTGTGTGATAAGAACTAAAGAGCTAAATACCTGAACTGTCTACTCGGGCGCCCTTCATAAACACAGATAAACAAGCTGTGCCCCTTCACTCTTGAAAAGTCACTAATCTGGGCAGATCTGCCCAACTTCTGCATCGAGAATGTTCCTCTTTGGGCATGATCCTCTCTGACAGCCACACCTGTTGTTCTCAAGCCACACCATCATTAAACACTGCAGGTATTGGTCTCCGAGACTCAGCAATGGGACAGACAGGCTTAAACAATTCCCCACCGATGCCAAACACTCGTTTCCTTCTCCAGTGATGTTGGGTCATCTGTGGGACAAACATGGCTTGTTATCCTTAGAATGACATCACTTCAGAACTGGAAAGTGCAGGCCAGGCGCGGTAGCTCACATCTGTAATCCCAGCACTTTGGGAGGCCGAGGCAGGTGGGTCACCTGAGGCCAGGAGTTTGAGACCAGCCTGGGCAACATGGTGAAACCCTGTCTCTACTAAAGATACAAAAAATTAGCTGGGCGTGGCAGCGCACTCCTGTAATCCCAGCTACTGAGAAGGCTGAGGCAGGAGAATTGCTTGAACCCAGGAGGCAGAGGTGGCTGTGAGCTGAGTTCTCACCATTGCACTCCAGCCTGGGTGACAGAGTGAGACTCCATCTTGAAAAAAAGAAAAGAAAAGAAACACATATGTGGTTATCGTGACTGAGTGGGTCTAGTGTGTAGGGATCAGGGCACCCTACTACTGGCTTCTAGTGGGCAGGGATCAGGGACATTGCTAACATCCTACAATGTTCAGGACAGGCCGTCACAATGCAGAATTATCTGGTCCCGTATGTCAACAATGCCACTGCAGAGACCCCTGCCCCAGAGGATCATGGGGTATTTACACTTATGCTGCAATAAAATCTGCTGAAATAACTGTTTGTACAAAAGAGGCCCCACGGTTCGAGTATCGCTTAACCACATCTATGGCCTTTGGGGTTCCCTGTTGGTAGAGCTGGCTGTGATGGGAATGATGGGAAGAAGGGAGTGGACTTGGAAGAGCTTTGGAAACAAGTGGCAAGTTCCAATTCCTGCAAAAGAGCTGCAAAGAGACATGGAAAGTTTGAGGTGTCATCGGAGAGAGGATTGAGTGGGGCAGGTGGGAAACCTCGCTGTGTGGGCTGACCTTTATCATTCTGTTCATTCGAGATTTTCATTTCAGCCACTCTCATTCACGGTGTGTGGACCCCAAAACAGAGGGGGAAAATGGAGCAGAAATATTACACAAGACTCCAGGCTGATCTCTGCTTCTCCCCAAGGGAGTGGGGAGGGCCCTGCCAGCAGGTCCATCTACCCAAAGAGCACAAGGCCCCAGCCTGCCGGTCTCCCTGTACCTGAGGGGCAGTGGGTACGCATCCAGGGCCCTGCGGAGGGTGGGTCTTGGCAGAGTGGCAGCTCTTCCTCTTCCTCCTTTGACAGCCCCATTCAAGGGCATTAAAAAGAAGCTACTGGTGAACTTCTATTTGACTCCATTACCTCACTGGCAACCTGCAAAGTGCCAAATGCTGCCTCTTGCCCTGGGGGAAGTGATTTTGTCTCTTACCCGTGAATGTCACCACAGAAGCTAACTTCAATCCCCAGTGATGGATTGGCTTCTCCTCCTTCAGCACAACTCAAATGCCAGGCGTGAAACACAAAGGGACTCACCTCTGCCTCTCTCTGAGCTCTGGGATTTCTTTGGTATTAAAATCACAAGCTGCCACTTCCACGGCCTGAAAGAGACATGGAAAATCATTTATTTGGAAAAAAAAAAAAAAAACCTTCACTATGATACATCCACACTATAAAATATTATGCAGCCACTAAAAAAAGGATGTATTGGAGACCATTTAAGGAAATGGAAAAATGCTCACATTATGATGATAGCTAAAAAAAAAAAAAAACAGAATACAATATGATCTCAAGTCTGTAAAGATAAAATAAACAGAGAAAAAAACAAAACAAAACAAAAAACAGAAAAAGATTATCTTGTATCTCCAGACAGGAAAACTATAGATACTTTGTTTATTTCTTCGTTCCTTTCTATATTTTTCAATTTTTCTACATGAGAATGTATTACTTGGCTGATAGGCAATTAAAAGTTTGTTTTCAAACGAAAGCATAAATCATTTTACTCTCTTCAGAGTTGGAGTAATAAGTAACATCCCCACAAGAAGAGCCCACAGCTGAAGACACCAGCCACCTTCTCCCCTAATTTATCCCAAAGAACCTCCCAAAACTGGCCCACAGACATCTTCAGGGGTCCTCCTTCTGGTGGAGGGAGTGGGTAGGAGGGGGTACGAATCACAGCACGACTCGGTGTCACAAAACCAGAGATACAGAAACAGCACTTAACTGCAAGAACCCATTCCAACCACAAAGCAAGAGCCACCCACCCTCCAGTAAGATGCATTCAGTTCCACCAACTTTGACACCTATGGAACTTTCCAGAACCCAGCTGTCCCTGCAAGATGGTTCCAGACCCAGGAGCATGTCTTAGACCTGATACCAGAACTCAGTGACACATCTGGGTATCCTGTTCCTAGGGGCACTTGACTGAGGGGTGCCAGCCAGTCAAAGTGGCCCAGACAGGAAGGAAAAAAGGCTGCCAGGAGTCATCCCTCTCCAACCCCAGACCTTGGGCTGTGAGCATGGGAAATCGTCTGCTGTGTCCTCACCACCCTCGGCTCTCCCATCACGCACGAGAGCATGCTGCGGAGGCTGGCAGGTGGGCCGTGGCCACGGACGCTGGCCAGAGGGTGGGAGATTATACTGCAGGATTATTTCCCCAGATCCATTCATTCCACACCCACTTATTGGGCACCTGCAGGCTATGAGGCAGGGTGTGTGGCAGGCAAGGGGGCAGGATAATGCATACCTGGGCACCATCTGTCCTTACACAGCAGTTCTCACCCCATAGCCGCATCAGCCTCACCTGCAGGGGTTCCTTAGAACCTGCCTCTAGCTCTGATTCAGTAAGTCTGGAGTAGGACCCCTAAATTTTGCATTTTCCACAAATCCCCAGGTGAGGCTGCGGTTGTGGCTCCTGTCAGGGAACCCTACTTGGACAGCCACTGAGGAAACAGCAGGGAGGAGGCAAGGTTGAAACCCATCAGCTCCTCCTCCCTATGGAAACAGACACAGCACGCGGAGTGGCAGGACACGGGCACAAATCCAGAAGGGCACCAGCCTCGCCGCCTTTTGGGTACGAAGCTGACCCGGCTTACGTAAGCAGCCCAGTGCCTGCAGAGGGCGAATCCCTCCTCTCGGAAGCCTGTCTTAGATGGAGGGGCAGGAGGAGGGCATCGCTCCAGCCCCTGGTCCTGAGCTTTTGTTTCTGGGACATCTGTGCCCAGAGACGGAGCCATCTTCCAGCCATCTCGTTGGAAGCCAAGTTGCCCCGAGACTCATTGGAATTCAGCTTGCTTATAAACACCTGGAGGTTTTGAGATTATGCTGAGGTCTGGGGCTCGGGGATTTTGCTTGGGGAGTTTATCGGAGTTAAGTCGGTGTAGGTGAAAGGCGGTGGATGAGCCTGGTGGGGGAGGTGGCAGGCATCAGTAAAGTGAGCGCATTATTCACACATCTCCTTCCACCAGAACGAAAGCTCCCCTTCCACTCACGAATGCTTATCAACACCCTTCGATTTTTTTCATCCATTTTTAAAGGAGGCAGAAGGGAAAAGCTCATAATTTTTAATTAAGAAATTAAGCCATCCCCTTCCTAAATATTCAGTGCTGCATTTATCGCCTCCAGGAAGGGGGAGGGGAGAGTCCGACCGTTGCAGGAAAATGGTTTTCATCATCCGCAAAATCCGATGCCCAAAATAGCCCCATCGTTGCCCTGGCAACTAACATTTGCTCCCCCTTCCCCCTCCTCCCCGATGCCTTTGCATATTGCTGCATATTTCTATCATCTCTTTCCAGGCACAGTTCATAAACACGACGGCATAATAAAGAATGTTATCACCAATGACTTACAGCCCAGCTGCGCCCGGAGAGATAGGAAGTGGCAAGCAGATACAATTTCATGCAGCGAGGGCAACAGAGTGATTGGGTGCCCTTCAAATGTGATGCCACTTCTTTAAGTCAGTCCAAATTCAGAAATAAAGTTGGTCTCGCCCTTTTCCTGGCCGCCATCGGCAATTGCATGCAGGGATAATGCCCCGGAGTCTCATTAGGGCTGGAACGATCTTGCCCTGAGATGGGGATTATTCCAACAGTCTCCTTCGCGGCCCCGCTCGGCCCTCGCCTCCCCTCCTCTCCCTTGTCAAAGGGCCGAGGCCCCGGGATGTGGCCTTTTTGAATTAATTATCCTCTCTTCCCAAGGATTACTCGGGCTCCCAGGGCTAGGGGCAGTGGGGGTGGAGCAGGGGCTGCCGCACATGAAGATCCGGGAAGATTTTCCGCCTCCGAACCCCGCTCCTTTAGTTTCAGGGGGCGGCAGCGCTAACTGCGGGGTCTCACTCTGCACGGGGTTAATGCAAGGAGACAGGGCACTCTCTAGACCCTCAGCAGCCACTTCTGTCCAGAGAGGGCTGGAAGGTCGGGGACCTTTCTCTCCCTGCCCCCCAGGCTTACACAACTCTGTAAACCTCTCCTCTGGTTCTTGTTCCAGATGGGGCCAGAACTTTAGGGGTTTTTTTGCTTAAAATAATAAAGATGTGCTGGCCTCGGTGGAGGATGGGCCCATCCAGAAGAAGAGGGAGAAGTTTCTGGTTTTGGGGTGTCCTGCAAGTTCCTTGGGCAAGGATCAGGAAGTCAGAGATCAAGGCCAAACTTATCTGCCCCCTCCAGGGCCTGTGGAACAGCCAGGCCTCCCCTGGGCGGTGCCGCGACCACAGGCAGGGCCCTATAGCCCACCGGGTCTGGTGGACTGCCAGAGCCAGGGGTCCCTGCGCTGCCCCCCGCCCACTCTTCCATGTGGGTCCTTCCAGGCCACCCCCAAGCCTAGCTAGACAGTGTCCAGGCTGAGCTCAGGCTGGCCAGTAGCAACCTCCCACTCCTCCTAGGGGCTTCCAGCCAGGGGGACAGGGAGCCACGTGGGGACATAGGGAGGAAGGGAAGGTGTCCCAAGGGCACCACTAGGCCCTCGAGAAGACAGTAATCGGGGTGGGGTGAACATGGGGGCTGCTGGGAAGGGCAGCAGAAGCTGCAGGTCCCGCCGATCTCTGCCTCGTGGACACATGCGCCATGCACAGAAGGCGCCACACAGCCTTTGCAAGGCAAGAGAGGCCCTGCGAGAACATGACAGCCCTCCAGGAGGAGGATTCTCAAAATCCAGTCCACAGTGGAGTCGGCAAGGAGAGCTCTGAGGTGTGATCCCGAGGAACAGAGCAGGTGGCAGAATGTCCACCATCCCATCCAGGAAGACCCTGCGCTGCCTGGGACCCCAGCACCACCAAGAGCTTCACCCTTTCCTCTACCGATGCCACTCTGGAGCCAGCCTGAGGGGCTGTCCCTGGCTACCTCCATAGCAGGAACCAGATATCCCCAGCAAGGCCCTCATGGAGCCCACAGGTGGGTGGAAACAGAAGGGCCACAGCCTCCTCGGGGGCCAGGCTCACCTTCCACGTGCTTGGCTGCCTGGAGCCACCCCCTCGCCTGTGCTGGTCCCACCGGCCAGCTTATTCCCTAGGTGGAGGGCTGGACATTTGCACACGTGGTCATATGGGGGGCAGGGGGATTTTGCAGCAGAGGAGAAGATGAGCAAGGTTGGTAAGATGCCATTTTGTGTCCCCTGCACTCTTGGCTCTGTCCGAGGTGACTCCCAAGGAGGGTTTATCTGATGCTCTTCCCACACCTGTATTTCTAAGATGGGGGAAGCAAGAAATTCTGAAGAAAAACCAACCTCCCCTTCACCCATTCACAGCAATTTCCCTGGAGTCAGCACGGCTCTCCCAGCCTGCTTCCCAGCGCCCTGCTTGAATTTTGTGTAGACATAAACACATATATCTACTCATTGATGTAAAATTCATATAACATAAAACGAATGATTTTGAAGTGAACAGTTCTGGCCAGGAGCAGTGGCTTACTCCTGTAATCCCAGCGTTTTGGAAGGCCAAGCAAGGTGGGAGGATCACTTGAGGTCAGGAGTTTGAGATCCACCTTGGCCACATAGTGAGACCTCATCTCTAAGAAAAGTAAACAAAATTGGCCGGTTGCAGGTGGTGCACATCTGTAATCCCAGCACTTGGGGAGGCTAAGGCAGGTGGATCACCTGAGGTCAGGAGTTCAAGACCAGCCTGACCACTATAATGAAACCCCGTCTCTACTAAAAATACAAAAGTTAGCTGGGCATGGTGGTACACACCTGTAGTCCCAGCTACTCAGGAGACTGAGGCAGGAGAATTGCTTGAACCAAGGAGGTGGAGGTTGCAATGAGCCAAGATGGCGCCACTGCACTCCAGCCTGGGTGACAGAGCAAGACTCCATCTCAAAAATAAAATAAACAAAATGAGCCGTGTGTGGTGGCTCACGCCTATAGTCCCAGCTACTCAGGAGGCTGAGGTGGGAGGATCGCTTGAGCCTGGGAGATCAAGGCTACAGTAAGCCATGATCGTGCTACTGTACTCCAGCCTGGGCGATAGAGCAAGACCCTGTCTCAAAAAGAAAAAAAATAGTGAATAATTCAGCAGCATTTTGTATGTTCACAATGCTGTATCAATTTCGTTCCAAAACATTTTCCTCACCCCAACAGAAAACCCTGTACCTGTCAGCAGTCACTCCCCATTTCCCCTATCTACAACCTTGGCAACTCCTAGTCTGCCTTTTGTCTCTGCATGCTTTCCTGTCCTGGATATTTCCTATAAAGAGGATCTACAACACGTGACTGGTTGCTTTCACTTAGCTTGATGTTTTTGAGGTTCATCCACTTTGTATCATGTGTCAGTGCTAGGTTCCTTTTCATGGCTGAGTAATATTCCATTGTATTTATAGACCATGGTTTATTCATTTATCCATTGACAGACATTTGGGTTGTTGTCAGTTTTGGGCTATTGTCAGTAGTCCTGCTGTGGGCATTCATGTATAATATCTGCTTAAATACCTGTTCCCAGCTGGGTGCAGTGGTTTATGCCTATAATCCCAGCACTTTGGAAGGCCAAGGCAGGCAGACCTGAGGCCAGGAGTTCAAGACCAGCCTGACCAACAGGGAGAAACCCCATCTGTACTAAAAATACAAAATTAGCTGGACATGGTGGCGGGTGCCTGTAATTCCAGCTGCTCAGGAGGCTGAGGCAGGAGAATTGCTTGAACCTGGGAGGCAGAGGTTGAGGTGAGCCGAGATCGTGCCATTGTACTCCAGCCTGGGCAACAAGAAGGAAACTCCATCTCAAAAAAAAAAACAAAAAACAAAAAACAAAACCTGTTGCCAATTTTTTGGGGCATATACCTAGGGACAGAATTCCTGGGTTATACGATAATTTAATGTTTAACTTTTTTTTTTTTTCTTTGAGACAGGGTCTTACTCTGTCTCTCAGGCTGGAGTGCAGTGGCATGATCACGGCTCACTGCAGCCTCAAATTCCTGGGCTCAGGTGATCCTCCCACCTCCACCTGCCGAGTAGCTGAGACTACAGGTGCAGACCACCATGCCCAGCTAGTTTTTGTATTTTTTGTAGAGATGGAGTTTTACCACATTGCCCAGGCTGGTCTCAAACTCCTCAGGTGACCCTCCCACCTCAGCCTCCCAAAGTGCTGGGATTACAAGTGTGAGCCACCCCACTATGCCTGGCCTTTTATGTTTAACTTTTTGAAGAACTGCAAAACCATTTTTTGAAGAGGCTGCCCCATTTCACATTCCTACCAGCAAGGCACGTGGGTTCTGAACTCCCCACATGCTCACGAACACCTGCTATCATCTGTCTTGACTCCAGTCATCCTAGTGGGCATGAAATGCTATCTCCTGTGGTTTTAAATTTCATGTCCCTGAAAACTAATAAATGTGACCATCTTTTCATTTGCTTGTTGGCCTCTACTTGAATTGGATACTGGTTTCTTTTCTTTTTTCTCCTTGCAAAAAAGAAATCTGGTTCTTCAATAAAGATTTTCACTCATACAGCCAAGAACTGCAAACTGGGCCCTGGAACACATGAGGCCTGGGGACAGGGTCCCTCGGAGAGAGAACTTTCCACCTCTTTCCTCAAACCCTCCTGACCCCAGAGCTGAGGAGAGAAAATTGTAGATGACCAAAAGATTTTAAAAAGTATTTGGCGTCAAACTCTGTGCTGTTCCAGGAGAGGATCTCTTAAATCTCCCTTGAAGGGGAACAAGGAGACACATCCCGCTTCTTCCAAGCAAAAGGGAAGTTCAAGAGGGGAGGGTTCTTTCCATTTGCTTTACATGCAGGAGGAGGCTGGTAAATCCTGTTTACCTTTCTCCTCTCGAGCATATTTCCAAGAAAAGCAAAGCAAAATCAACTTTGTATTCTATAGACAACGAGAGTCTTTGTAGGACGGAAAGTTCACAATCATTTTTCCCTCTCCTCAAACCTTCCACCCTGGCACCATAAAACATCTCTATCGGCCATCCGATGATCTGGTCCCATAATCTATGGGAACATGAAAGGGAGGACAATTGTGCTGAAAAATGACAGCCTGTCTCTGCCCCTCTCCACCCCTGGTGTGCCTTCACCGCTCCGTGTTCTCTCATCCCAGGTCAGACACCTGCTCCCTCTTTGTCATTCTCCAACATGATAAACACTCTTGCACACCAATTACCAGCATCTCCGTGGTCTGTGAGCCGGTGTACATGACTGTCCTTTGTCTTGGAGAAGAGACCTGAGGGGAACAGTGGATCCCCTCCATGACATCTTGCGTGAAGGCGCATCAGTCAGCCAAGATTTCACTCCAGCCTGGGTCGGACTGTGGGGCGGGGTGACACCACAAGGAGAAGGCTGGGGTGCCGAATGGGGGCCGAGAGGGCCATGAGTGGAGTGGGTGGGCCACGCAGTTGCCTTGAGACCTTGAGCAGGTAATTCCCACAGAAG